GAGTTAACGATCGAAATTAACAGAAGGACTAACGGAGTGCATTTCTTAGAGTTGAGGGATCAAAAAAGTACAAAAAATTGTTGAGGGACCAAAAATGTGCAACTCACTAAAGTTGAGGGACCAAATTTAGCATTTAACCATTGATAAATCCAACGCTGGCCTTGTACCCATTTCCAACGTAATTGCACCCATCACTTATCGACATGCCACCATACACGGTAGCACCTGTGTTATTTGGACACAAGATCTTTCCAGTTCTGGCATCCATTGCATAAATCGGTCCTTCAGCATTGGTTGAGCCACCAAAGAGGACACCGTTTGCCACTGTAACAGGGCCAGAGGCAGTGCCACTGGCTGGATCAGTTGTAGACCAGAGGACTTGGCCGGTTCCAGCATCCATTGCCACCCACCCACCTGCAGTTGTGTTCTTTGTTGATGGTTTGAGAGTGAAATTGTTGTGATCAGAGTGACGGAGGGAGGGGGTGCAAGGAGGGCACTAGCCCCTTGAAATTTGAAAATTTTTATAAATTAATATATGAAAAATTATCTCGTCCCTCTTAAAATGTAAAAATTTTGTAAATTAGTATATAAAAAATTATCTCGTCCTCCCTGAAAAAAAATTCTAGCTCTGCCCCTGATTGTATAGTATATTAAATTGAAAGATGCATGTATAAGTGTTTTTTTTGTTATTGAATGATATGAGAATATGAACCATAGTAGGTGTTTAATTGAGCCTCTAACAGAATAGTTTTTGCTTGCTACAGAAACTGAAGAAAGTCAACTGTAACTTTTTTACAAAAGACTTCTTACAAAAGACTTTTTTACAAAATATAATTAGTATAATAATAATTCAAGAATCCGCACTGCCTAAAGAACCAACAGCACTTTTATAAATTTCTCTTATACATAATTTGCTTTTGTTGCTTGCAAGAGTAAAATAAGTTTCATTTTTTTTTTACAATTTATTTATTTGTTTTATATATAAACAGTGAGAGGTTAAGCTCGGTTGCGGATTCACACTCAACATTGCTGCTAGCAGCATGGCAGAAATGGGAAGTGAGGGGAATGGCTCTTTTTAGTCTTACCTTACAAATAGTCCTCTCTGTCTTAGGTTGGCGTAGGAAATATCACAGAATGTGCTCTTTCAACAAAACCATTCTATTTTTGGCCTTCTTAACTGCCGACTGGATTGCCATTGCTACTTTGGGCAAGCTTTCCAGTTCCTGTACTAAATCTTTGACGACCACCCCATCTATCAGAACATATTGGGCCCCTTTACTCCTTCTACATCTTGGTGGCCCTGACAGCATTACAGCTTATGCTTTAGAAGACAATAAGAATTGGATTACGCACCTAATTATCCTCGTTATCAAAGTCATTTTTATCATCATGTCCTTTTCAAGGCTTTCGTTTTTAATTTACATTCTCTTCGCTGCTGGAATTAGTAAGAATGTAGAGAAAATATGGTGTCTCAAGCTAGTGAACTCACAGAAGGCAAAACCAATCATTAACATCATTGATCCTGCACGTATTCTTTCTCCCAATGAGAATATCCCAAATTTGTTACGAGGTTATCTATTGTTTATAATTATGAGACCTGATGTCAATGATTACCTCTCCTCCCATAATCTTGTCGAGGTCCGAACAAAGATAACAACTCATCTCAAGAAAACCACAAGTAATGATACCGATATTGTGCAGAAATATATTTGCGCAAGCCAAAAGGGAGATGCCTTCGGAGCAGTTGTTGTTGCACTAGGATTTACGTATGATGTTGTTTACACCAAAGCCGCTTTGATTTTCAAGAAGTTGACATTTTTGACGCGCCACATCAATATCATTAGCACCTACTCACTTCTAGTGTTCTTCATGGTCGGCATCGTTAAACACTTAAACCTCTCTTTGCCGAAGGTTGATATTGTCATAACTATGATCTTATTTCTTGGAGCCTATGCAATCGATGTTTTTGCAATTGCTGCAATGTTTTGTTCCAATTGGACAGTTCTTGAAGTGGAATTTGGTCGTATGAAAATGCTAAAGCGCATAATTCCCCTACTGTCCTTCGCTGGTCGAAGGAAAATGTGGCCAATTTACATGGGTACATTTGATCTGTTGGAATATTGTTGCCATTACAAGAGAAGGAAGGCAAACCAATCATGTGGCATTCCATGGAAGATCACTAATTGGAGTAAAATTGAAATGTGTCACAAAACCAGTTTCACTAACTTTGTGGACGTTCCAAATTATTTAAAACAAGAAGACAGTTACAAAGACCTCATTGATTCATTCTTCCGAATGGAACCCTTCAAGATGTCAAGAGGAAAAAAGGCACTGCAAGATATGCAACAATTTGATGAACTAAAATGGAGCATTGAATTGGAATTTGATCACAGCATCATAGTATGGCATCTTGCCACAAATGTTTGCTACTCACAAGAGGATGATGATGATGATGAAGCCAGTGTAGATGATTGTGATGATCCCATGAAAATCAGTCAATATGTATCAGATTACATGATGTATCTGTTGGCCATGTGTCCTGCCCTGTTATTGTCTAAGCACACTAAGAGTTTTTGGTTTGATCATACTTATGACAAGCTTAAAGAACTTTTGTCTTCTGCAACTGACACAACAAATGCTGCTTTCACATTACTTAATCCAGATAATGTTGGCGAAGAGGAGCTTGAATCCAGGTTTGATGTTTTTTATTTTCTTATTTTCATAGAATTATAAAATTAGAAATAAAGTAGTTTTATTTCTTTCTAATTTTTTCTTTTTCTTAAGAAGCATGGAGACAACAATGGACGAAAACCTACAGAAAAATGTGTCCAGCCTAGTCAGATGTTTAAATAAATCAGAAAATAAATGGAAGATGATTAGGGATGTCTGGATAGAAATGCTTGTTTATGCAGCGGTTTCAAGTCAACACATTAGTCACGTTAAGCAGCTAGGAGAAGGCATGGAATTGCTCTCACTCATCTGGCTTCTCATAGGCTCTAATACTATCAGGTATGCCTTTAAAGAGGAGTTTGAAGCCTCTACAGAAGAGTTTGAATCCGAGACCAACATCTGAATTAGGCTTAGCAGCCTTATGTCTCATGTATGAATTACGTAATTCAAAAAGTGACAACGCGATTTTTGTCACTTTCCTAAATAAATTTGTATATGGTATTTGTTGCATACTTTGATATGGATAAATTATAACTACTCTTGAATATTCAAGTTTAAAAATAAACATTGTTTTCTAAATTGAAGTATCCTAGTAAAACCTCCTCAAATCTATTTTATGTCTCTTTAATTTAATAATAATATTATTTTTTAAATTAAAACCAATGATAATATTAATAGTAGAAGAAGTGTAATATATATCCATGGCTTAAATGAAAATCAAGTATTATTTTATAGTGATTATGTAGATTAATTAAGTATCAAAATTAAATAATTATAATTATATTTGAACTAGACAAAGGATTCCTTTATCTTATTTTTTAATATATTTTTGTAACTTTTTTGCTTGATGCTATGCCCAAAGTTGCATGTTAGTTTTATGGATTTTATCATTATCTCTTTTTGTAACATATGGTTTCCTTTATCAGGTTTCGAAAAATTACGGGCGACCATCTATTGAGCTAGCCCTCCCAAGTTGGGTGGCTCAACAATGGAGTGCACGGTGAATGGCAGAAACTTGGAAAGTTTTTTGTTTGAAGATGCATAATGGTTTTCGACGCGGGCATTTCCTATTCTTGAAGAAAATGGGAAAAGCAAATAGACTCCTCCAACTTTGAATATGTTGACATGTTAGTCCCTGATAGGATAGTGTTACTATTCTTGTATCCCAAAGCTCCCTATTTTATCTCTTGTTAAATTTAAAAGAGTGCAGATGGGTTAGGGCGTGAAAAAAACAGAGCGGAAAACCTGTGCAAAAAAAAAAAAAATAGAGTGAGGTTGAGAGTAAGTCTCCCTTGGTAATGTTGGAATTTTGAGAGATTCGGATTGTAATCTAAAAGTTGTAATTTATTTTCAGTAGTGGATTGATTTTTCATTTGGGCTAATGCCTCGTAATTTTTTCCATTTAGGTTTTTCACGTAAAAATTCTGATGTCCTTTTTATTTTACTTGCTTTGCTTATTCTGTTTTTGGGTGGTTGATTGTGCTTTTGATTGCTTTGATTTGGGCAATGGACCATTAAAATCACAACACCATCTTCACACCTATCATGCAAAAAGGGTTGTCCTCCTGCAGGTAGAGTTGTATTTGTATACCCTGTTCAAAAAAGCCAATTTGTAACTTATGTTGTAACTGGGAGTGAAAAGCCACACAACAGTGAAGCTATTGCCTCTTGATGAGTTAAATTTATATACATATTGATAGGAAAATTTTACTTTGATTTTATTGATATTTGGATGAGTTTTATAGGATTTTGTTTGATTTTATATAGTTTTCATTCTTTGTGTAGGAAATGATTTAATTGGAAGAAATCCTACTTTTTATAAGTAAATTGAAGAGATCAGAAACTTGAGGATCAACTTGTGTAGAATCTAAAAGTCAGGAACCAAATCTGCTATTTTACCGTTGAAGAAATTGCAAAAGAGAGTAGAAAGCCGACACGGGTGTAGTGTCGACACATTATCAGGGTGTCGACACCATGAGCTAAACGTCCAGGATCAAATTCTGTTTCTTATTTTGTGGCAACACGTAATCCGAAGTGTCAGCACCATGCGATCAGCATCTAAAATTCAGTTTCCTATTTCTATTCCAAGTTCTACTTCTATTTCAATTAGGGTTTCTAAAATTCTATAAATACCCATCCAAATTCAGAATTAAGAGAGCTCTAGATCAGATTGATTGACTTAATTCAATCTAGAACTTTATGCTGGATCAAAGGAAACTCTACCTGTGCTAAATTCAATTTCGTGGACTGGTGTCAATTCCCACTCCATTGTACAGTTGATTTTTAACTTATTGAACTTTTAATGTAATGTATGGGTGAGTACCCCTTGTACTCCATGTATGTAGTTCTTCCTCTAAAGAAGACGTACCGACATAGAAATAACTGGGGAGGATAAATTTAATGCAAAACACATTGAGCAAGACAGTATACAGTTCAACAAAACATGATTAAGAAAAGATATTCCTTAACTTCTTTTAATCATCATTTTCCAGTCCTGTTCCAATAGACAAACAGGAAATTTCAACTTTCAAAAAACCAAACTGTCTGTTGGTATACCAATTGACACTAAAGAATAAATCCTGCACTTGTACATTTGTTGTTGTTTACTGAATGTATTGATGAAAGAAGAGAAAAATAAAAGTTTGAAATCGTAAAATTCAAAAATTGTGTCATGTTAAAGCAAATTCCTTAAATTTCTAAATAAGTTATATTAGCACAAAAGGTACCTCCCAATGCCTCAGGTTGTCCCAATTCATAGGAAAGAAGATACAAAACCGAGATCTTGTTGACTGACTATATTAAGATATCAAATTTTCAACAGAATTGTGTATCACCTTTTGTTTAATTAATTTTTAGTTTGATTAATTTTAGCTGGAAAAGAGATTGAAATTGAAGATGACTAACCCATTATGATAAGTTCCAGACATCGTGATAACAGAGGCAGGATGGTTATCAAGCTTGGTTGACCAGACAAGCTTTCCACTTGATCTTTCAACACCAATAACAACAGCAGGTCCATAGATTCCAACAATAACTAGATCATCTGCTATTGTTGGGGTTGCTCTTGATACTGTTGTGTTAATGTTGGAAACGAATCCAGTAGCATTAAAACCAAGCTCTTTCAAGTTTAGGTTCCAAATAAGAGATCCATCCAAAGCATTAACAGCATAAATATACCCATTCCAACTAGGAAAATAGAGGGTTCCATCAAAGATAGCTGGTGTTGCGGTTATGTCTCTGCCTGCATAAAACTCCCATTTCAAATGCAGATTGCAAACCGTTGCTGGGCTAATTTCAGTTTCTCCTTCAGCAAATCTCCTGTTGTGAAGATCCCCACCATGGTTCAACCAGTCTTGTTTATACTCATGATCTCTCTTAGAAATAACATCCCTCCCATAGTCCCATATACAGCATTCCACTGTAACCAGCAGAGAAAGTATCATCACTTGATAAGTTGATATAAAATGAGTGTTTACAATGTGTAAGGTTTGTGTTCACAGGGGATGGCAGAGACTTACTCTTGAATCTGCAGATGCTGGAGACGAAACAAAAATGCACAAGAAAAGAACAGGAAAATAATTTAAGGCTCTAGGAAGAACCATTGGGATAGAATTTCAATTTCTTACAGGGAACTGTGTGGGTTGTTATTTATAGAATCATGTAATGGAGAGTGGGGTTCACTTCAAAACTCTGCCACGGTTAAACAGTTCAAATTTCCTCCAGTACGGCGGTACCAAACAATAGTAGTTGAGACTGAGATGAAATGAAAGAAGGAAATATAATTAATAATTCTTCATCTCTTGGGTTAATTTTATTTTTGCATCATGGAAATTTGACCTTGCATATTCAGTGGGACCATTACACATGCAATATGACATCTTTAAACTAATTATTTTATCTACATATACATACAAACGTCAGAGATTTACATAATGTCATAATTAAATAATCTTTTGAGGTATCATTTAGGGAAAAGAGTGACATTTCTAATAAAATGTCAATGAAATAATTATTTTAAGATAGCAGGTTAAATATACATATTATATACTTGATAAAAATGGTTCAAAGTTGCGGAAAATTTTTCTTTATTGGGGAAGAACAGATCCTTAGACCGTCTTAAATATATATATCAGTCCTTATTCTGCCATGATTAAATAGTAATGTCAAATGCAAACTTCAAATTCATTGCAAAAGCAAATAGACCACTCAACTGAACGTTGCGTGCTATTACATTATATTAATGCTTTCGCTACGGATTTCGTACTTCAACTAAGAATAAGGTTAGATTAGTTTTGGATTGAGTATGCAATTGTTATATTCATTATCAAGGAACATGGTTCTATCTTGCATCCAACTCCACCCTATATATAGTTTCAAAGTCAATATAAACTACATAAAATAGCTAAATTCTAAAGTACCCATTTCTTATTTACTGCAATCAATAAAAAAAGCTGATAAAATACCCAATTCTAATATTAACCCAGATTGGGATTGGGGAAAAATCTAGAGAATTGTCAAATACGCGTAATTTAGTCAATGTGAGGCTGATGATTGCTGCTCTTGATGGCCCCAGTGAGCTCCGAAAGCCAATGAGCAAATGCAGACTTGCTATGATTAACCATTGAGAAATTTCTAATATTTTCAGTTGGATATGTTCTGGAATTCATTGCAGTTTCCTTGATGATTTGATGAGAGATCTGTGACATGCGCGAAAGTAATCCCGGGTTATCCATGGATGTGTTCCTCGCTTATTCACTTTGTTATATTATAATCAGGTTGATTGCAGCTCTGCACAGAGAATCCAAGCGAAGGTTGTCAGGAAGTCAAGGCGAATTGGGATAGGTGAATTTGAATTTCAGTTGCAGCCACCAAAATGGTGTCGTTTCACTGCATTGAAATTTTCGTATTTAGGTTATTTTTTTTTATGTTCAATTTTTGTCGGAGAATTAAATTTAGAACAACGATTTTTTTTTTTAAAAGGTTTTTTCTGATCTTTCCCCTGATCACAGGTTAGTAGCTCAATTAAAGCACCCTTTAACTATTTTCTTTGTTTTAAACTTTTAATGTATTTGT